TATAAATGAATAAGTGACGAAAAAAAGGTCATCAACATTGTAGGGATTGTAGGGTCACCAAGGAAGGAAATATTTGAACATTTTTTCCTTAAGTGTGGCAAAACTGCCTCCCCCCCTTTTAAAAAAATTGAACACCTGTGATTATAAACGTGAGTCTAAAGCTCTAAACCCAATGTCAGGCAACAGCGATAACGACAGAAATAGTGATAGCAATAGCAATAGCGATAGGAACAGAGGAATCCAATCAGAGATGGGCATGTATTTGAAATACTTTTATTTAAAACACACTATTTGCAATACAAGCATATTTTATATTTTATATTTTAGCGGATCACATAAAAGTATTTTGTATTTAAAATCGAAAGATTGAAAGCTTTTTGTATCTTATAATTCAAATAATAAGGTTGATTATCAATGTTACTATTTGAAATACAAAATACAAAATACTTTTATAATCTTTTGTTATTAATACTAAAATATAAAATACAAAATACTTTTATATGCTCCCATGAAATACAAAATATAAAATATTTTCATGTACTCTGAACAAACACAAAATACAAAATATAATTATCTTACCAATACTGTTTTTCAAATAAAAGTATTTCAAATACATGCCCATCCCTGAATCCAATTCATATGAGAATGCATATGTCAATGCACATACTTAAGAACACGGAATAAGGCAATAGCGATAAATTTCCAACGAGTTGGAATTCTGTGTCTATCGCCTTATAGCCTACCAATCAGCGTCCAGATTTTTCATTCTGTTTATATATGCTATAATCTTGAAGCGGATGGAAGAATATACTACAGTCTATATACGAAATCAGATTGGTTGGCATTTTTTATTTCTTTCGCGGCATTGTGCAACGGCCAACGGAAGACGAAAATTATATATCGCTTATTTCTATAATATTCCTATTGTTATTCTTATCGCCTCGCATTGTGTTTAGGGCTTTATCTTTTCCTGAGAAACTCAAAACACATACTTTGTACTAAAAGAAGCATATTTACCCACACATCTATATGGGATATACTAAAATAATCGCGGATATACGAAATATATCTCAATGTCTTTAAGATGTCTTAGTATATTATAATAACTATATCATGAATACACTTCCTGTATAAGATATTCAGGAGATATCTTACCCCGAACAAAGTACATGTGTACAATATATCTCAGAGACATTCTGAAGACATCTAACAGATAAGATATCTTCCAGTCGTTTCTAAGATGTCTCTTTATATATAAAACTTATAGAATAGTACGTAATTATAATGTACGTACATATTATAAGGGCATAATTAAAGAAATTATCTCTTCAGGCGGTATTCATCTTAGAACATATACTACTGGAAGGAGCATACGCTCGAAAAGTTGAAGCCGAGAAGATTAACAAGAATGGAGGTAGAATGCAAAGAAGATTGACAAGGATGGAGATAGAACGCGTGATCCTAGATTGTAATGCGCATGCTTGTCGTCTTTTCTCTTCACCCCATAGACCATAGACCCCCTGTATATGTTCTGTGATAGACCCCGTGCGAATGGTCTGAGCATGCACGTTGCTGACTAGGCACATTCTATCTCCTTGTCAATCTTCTCGGCTTCAGCCGAAAGAATAGGATTATGGGTCTATGTTCCTTCCAGTAGTATATGTTCTAAGGTAATTAGGTTTTATAATTTAAAGATTTGCTTACACGTACATTTCTGAACAGCCAAATAAAGCTGGTTCTACATTGAACGCCTTTTTGGAATTTTAAGGTTAGAATATTTTAGAAACCTGACGTAATGGTGCAATTTGGGCTATGGATTTGGTTTTATCACGCCAGAAACCTTCGAGATTACGTACTATCGTAATATGTCTGTATAATCGGTGTAAATTAAGCCATCATTATAATTATAAAAAACATTCTCCCAAATATATCCTGACTAGATACTATAATTATCTCTAATATATCTTTATAATATACCTACGATAACATTTCAGATTTTACTATAAGCAACAATAATTACGGATATCTCAGGAATAACGTAAGAATATATTTCGCTTAAACTTGAGATATCTTCTTTGATGCGGACATTAGTATATCCTATTGATATTTGCCATATATCCAGATGTCTACTGAATATCTTTGAGATATTGCAATATCCCAGCATGATATCTTGACGAGATTCCACAGATTTCTTTTGCTGTGTGGGTAAGAGTGATTATACGTGTCTCTATTATGCTCAATTTTTTCGGCTAAATATAAATTAATGGGAATAATTGGATATAATTACTCGTGATCCCAGTGAAAACTCAGTCAAAGTGATGTCAATATGACATCAAAACCGTCGTTTGTCGTCATGGCATCAAGGAAATAATTCAATATGAAAAAAAATTGACACCATGCAGAATGATGTCTTAAATGGGGAAATGTTATAGAAGGAGGTAAAAATTATTATTTATAGATGATAATTCTAGTATTATGCGAGAAATTCAATCAATATCATCTTAACGGAATTTTGATGTTTAGGACGTCATTTGGACGTTACTATAACAATAAATAGCTTAATTTTTTGCTGGATAATTGTTAATATGATATCAAATAAATATTAATAAAATGGCAGTCAAGATCACCGTCATGGTATGGGATGTTTCGCAGTCAAATAGTTGTCATTTTGCTTCTTCTTGTGAAGAATCATTTTGATTCTCTTTGACATCATATCCCTAATCAATTTGACATCACATTGACATCACCTTGACTAAGTAGTTTTCACTGGGATTTTGTTTCGCGCTTTTTTAAAAATGACTCATTACGTAGATTAACCTTCGAAGTTTGTGCGATTACAATACATCAGCGTTAACCAGAAAATAAGACAGAAAGCATTTAATCCTTGTAGTTAACTTTAATCATTTCTCTCATTTCAGATTGTCTCGCGTGGTCTCGCGTCGCGTTGTCTTGAATCATAACGATACCGCGCAGGCGCACGCAATCGCATCACGCGTGACGCAACGGCTGTCCCAGACAGCACAGAATATTTATGATAAATATTTATTAATATTTATTTTTTCAAATGTTATATAGATATTTTATACACATTTTATATAAAGCTTTATTCGAAATATAGACTAAATATGTTATGCAGTATTTATGATAAATATAAATAAATATTTCTAATAAGTATTTTTTATTTGGATTATAATGTCTCATTAAGTATTTTTATAGCATTTACTATAACTATTCTAATTAGTGTGCACATTAAAGCTGTTGTACACTATTCTAATTAAAATGTAAAAGTGAGATATCTCAATTGATAAAATGCCCAATACGTATTTTATCAAATAGCACAATAAAATGTATTAAATATTTCGCGATTTAATTCGTTCCTAAATTTTTATTAAACGTACATCTTTATGTCGATTTGAGTACAACGGCTTTAAAGTGCACTGAGTACGCACTAGTTCTGCTAATAAAAAACGCTATAAGAATATTATAACAAGTGCGAGTTTTTGTCGGGAGTGCCGATTAGGATGATATTTCATTTGTGCGTTTTTGTCATACGAAAAATTTTTCAAGCATCTTTATCGGAATATATCGGTCGTCGCAGATCCTCGGAAGCAACGCCATTTTACTGATAGTAATCAATGTAGCACCGGAGTTCAAAGACGATTCAGTTTCAGTGAGTACAAATTTCGACGTTACTTGCGGAAATGATTTGTTTGTTTGTGCAAAAAAAATGAAAAATGGTATACACAAAAAATAAGCTATAAGAAAGTTAAATCATCGTCATATGAAATGTGTCTTGTAAAGTATCTTTCAAGATTATTGAAGTTAAAATAAACAAGCATATAATAGAGATATTCGTATATTTATTTAATATAATATAGCTACAATTATGTAATACATAATATCATAAAATCTAATTATTATCATGGTTACTGCGAAAAGATAGCAATGCCTCTTCTATGTACAATTTTTTACACACATCACATATACTTACAATTTTATCTGTTAACTCTCTGATTGCGACATGCAAAACGTTCCTAGTATTCCTAATGAGTGGAAATAATATCGATATAGGCTGCGGTCCACTTGCTTCTTCCAAATGCTCTGAACGTTACGCTCCGATTGGTCCATTACTATTTCGAATGCTACAATTGCTACGTGATCGCACTTCCCGAGGTGAGGCAGTTGGAGCGAAGTGGGAGCAAAAACGATGACGTATTGATGATGTAATCAGAGTTACTGAGAGCATTCCGAAGCATCAAATGGACCAGTCATGTCAGTGCTACAAATGCTCTGTAGCGTTTGAAGCGCTAAGTGGACCGCAGCCATAAACTGTGCGCTGCACGTACATACATTGTCAAAAAAATGATCTTCATATATGTACATCGAGATAACACACACACACACACACACACAACGTTCGTAATCATAAAGTTAATATTTTTTTAACTTAAAGCTATAAAAATGAAATGTTATAATACGTTCAAAATATTGAATGGTAACATATGTTTGCCTCAAAAGCAATATAAAAATATTGTGGTATCTTTTAATATTACATTGATTGCTTTTCAATTGCTAATCACAATTAACACAAACATACACAGGAATGCACAAAGTACAGCATTGTGCATAATTCACTTGGACAAAATGTGTAACATTATACATGGTTTCAGATAGTTAGATTAAATGTAGTTTTTTCGACTGTGTTGAATGAAAAAAGCCAAAATATCGTCTACCTAACATCCTCCAACCTCATTTATAGTCGTAATTAGTAACATATATGTAATTGTCACTAGAAAATCCAAGTTTATAGCGAATTCGATATTAAACTAGATTAGTTCATTCTAAAAGCTTTACATGAAATTAGCAAAGTTAAATGTAAAAGCTATATATGAATATTTTGAACAATTTAATGTCCAATAAAAAATGACGTCATATTATTTAATAGAGCATACATGCATTATTTAATTGTCAAAGTTTTTTATCATTATATATACCACCTTAGATACTTTATAAAAAGCAATCTTTAATGTGTACTGATCCAGCAGTGTGAGTGAAATTCACACAACTAACTAGTAACCCTTGGATTGAGTACGAATGTGTAGTGTTATGTTGACGATTATAGCAATTGGAACACAATTTGTGATATTATATGTAACGAAAGTGTCCTAGTGATTTTACAATTGAAAAGCATCCATTGTGTACAGTCTATATGCGCACAATGTTACATTGTATGCAGTCTATACTAGTTACATATTAGTAACAATCTAGAAATTAATGCTTATATACGAGGTGCTTATATATGATCACATATATTCGGAATATTGTAGATATTTCATGTTATATAAAATAATGTCACAGTGGAATGTTTATTTAAATAATAAGAACATAGCTATTTGTAGTTAACATATATACGTGGCAGTATGCAATAATTTAGTATTTTGCGAATCAAGAAGAATATACGGCGACTGTGCACTTAAAGATCGCTAATTATTCTACAGTAAAATAAAAATCATCGTGAATATACGACAAATCATTATAATAATGCAAATAAATGTAATTCGTCAGCTGCGTATTGAATAATAATATTGTCACTAGTGCTTGCAAAGCATTTGATTGGATTACCGTAATGATGCATTATGAGGGATTATCAGTGGATCTATTAGAGATAGGATAATCGAAGCACATTGTTGCTAGTGAATCCGCAGCATATCTTCGTTCTTGCTGTGTTGTTTTTAGCCACTGTTTATGCTCGCATAAATATGGATATAAAGGTACTACTAACACGCTAATATCGTCCACCGATGCTATAGGTGAGGATTTTTCGTCCAAATCGTTAGGATTTTCCGGTTTTCCCATCCATACTCTACCGATTAATCGACCTCTTGCTGCTTGCACCAATTCTTGAGCACCCATTGTGAGTCTGAAAACCAATAGATATATTGCAGTTTATCGTAGTTAAACTAATTAATTTTTGCGTATATATTTCGCGATGATACCTATATTCTAATGATGGAGTATCAGGTGCAAGAGTTTTTCTAAGTATTGCTGCCGCTGTTTTATCTGATACTACATCCCAAAGTCCGTCCGTGGCGACAATAATACAATCTCGTTCGGTGAGATTGCAACTGTCCAGATCCAAAGATTGTACTTCAGGTTGTGATGATAGGAATGGTTTGATATTAACACCGGTATTTGCTGCTTTCAAACCATGATCTCCAAAGCCTCTAGTCACGCCTATTGTTCCCATTACTCTGCTCTGTACGTCACAAATAATTAATTTATATATATACCTATATCATAAACAAGAGCATTTTTATATAAAATTATAAATTACTGCTGAGATGTATGACAATGTACCCTTTTTCCGTGTCCTGAAATGAGCGGTAGTTTTAAATCTGGATGTGTTAAAGTTTTATATGCCCAACCTGTCATAAAAGGTTCTCTATATAAAACCAAAGATCCCAATTCCTTTTGCAACGGTCTCTTTCTAAATTCCAACGGAGTAAAATGGCCTTTGAGCAACTCATTACTTCTTAAAAAACCTAGAGCTCTAACACGATTTGATTCGGAGTCTGGAGTATGATCTCTAGTAAGAGCACGTTGTTCTTCTCCCAAAACTAATACGGCCCTGTAATCATATAGAAACAATTACATAAATATTGAATCTATCACACAATATACTACCCAGGAAACGCGAACTAAGAATAATACTGTTAGTTATAATTTTCTACAAGCGTTTTTTAATAATATATAACACTTAACAATTATATTATTCAATTGGGAATTATAACTAACTGTTATTGTTAGTATGTATACATATATAAATTATAATATACATATTATATTATACATATATAAATTATAACATATATATATATACCTTGAATCACCAGCTCCTGCTGCATAAAGTCTTCCATTAAGAAATAAAATTGTGATAGCGGTACAACCACCACCACCATTTTGAGCTTGCAACTCTACCATTTGATCCATTTGTCTATACGCTAATTCTATAGCACCTGTCACTAGATCTCTACCCTTTATCAGTTCATTTTCATCTTCGTTTAATAGCATGTTGCCTGGTATAGCCAGTAACCTTTCCTATTTTTAAATATTAATATGAATATCTTACATAATATACATATCGAATTATTTTGATAATAATTTTCTCAAATATAGCACACACAAGGATTATCCTATGTAGATGTAATCTTGCTGTAAGAGCCACTTGATACCCTGCATGTCCATCAAACATTGAAAACATGACATAAGGTAGTGTAACATTAACGTCTGATAATTTTAAATCTCCACGTGTTGCTGAAGCTTGATCTTCATTCCAAGTACTCTTTCCAGCGTTTATACATTCTGCATAGCCAGCACACCACGGCAAACGGCTAAGATCTCTCGGAACTATTATAGGTCTTACTCTGTGATCTGCACTCACCTATTTAATACAATCATTCAGTATATACAGAGATATTCATACAAATATCATTATAATCATATTATAAGAGTTAAAAAATACATAAATCAATTTGTTATATAATTCATATAAGGATTCGGAAATACCTGCGTTTCCTCAGCTGTCAAGCCTAGAAAACTTGGACGGCTATAAGGTTTATTTTCTACTTCTACTACATAGTTAGAATTAATATAATCTGTCATCATATCATTGTCTGAATCATTAGAGTACTGTAGGCCAAGCTCGCTTGCGCCTACAGCACTCATTAATACTGACTTAAAGCGGTTCAACATTTTTGTTCGTTGAATTACACAGGTGCTAGGCAAAGATATGACTGGCACTAAACTTGACAAATAGTATCATAAATACTCAATCAGCATAGTATCAAAGTTTCGTAAATATTTGTGTCTGTACCGAGATAACGATATGTGATATATGATAATTCTCAAAACTGATTAATTTTTAACTGGAAACTTGGTTATCTGTCAAATGCCTGTCAAAGATAAATATGCTTCCATTATAAAAATCCATTTAAGCCAGATTTGGCACCAACATCTCTATTTTATAATGAAACATTTTCATTTCTTTAATATGGTAGTACTTACTGTGTGTGTGTGAGCGAGCATTCAGCAATTATACTTAATTAATATCATTTTGTTGACAAATAGTTGTCAACGATACAGGTTATATTGCATTATGTCGCATTGAAATGTGACAGAGCGTTGGCACGTTCATTTAGTGACATCTACACGATGCCTTTAGTAAATCTTTATCGGATTGCGATGATGTCGTTGTCGAATGCACCAAGTGATGGCGCATCCTGTTTAAATCGCTGTCACGATTCGTTGTAAACAAAACAGGCAGAAATTGCTAGTAACGCGAGTTATAATTATTGCAAGAAATAAGCTATACTGTTTACGTTGCATCTAATAAATAAAGTAAGTATTACGTGTAATTGTAAATGGTGACAAGTGAAATTTCTATTAGTTTTGTTTTTATACAGTGACAAGAATAACCTAGGAATAGGTTATTATTAACTCAATCTTTTATTACATTTACTTTTAATTGTATTTTTTATAGGACTTTCTATGTAATTCTCCTTTTTAGTTTCTTTTTTAAGAGTGAACATAGATTTACTTTTTAACATAGAAAATGTAAGATAATGTAACAGGATCGTGAGGGGTCTATTAACCTATACATTTTTCAGATAAAAATATTAGAAGAGGGAATTGTTTTTTTTTTACAAGTTAATGTAATTTATTTCAATGCTCATTGATATTTATTCCGATTGAAGTAATTATTTCTTAAACGACATAAAGATGTCTAAAAGTAAAAATAGCATAGGCAACAACAAGGTATTTATCATTAATTATATATTTATAAAACATTTTGCTTTTAATTATGAAAATTTTACAAAAGAGTTTTTAGTACACATTATTTTAAAGATAATTTTATTATTAGCAATATAGCAGTGCATCTTCTTACACATCTTCGTCGTTATCGTCAGACGAAGAAGAGATTGATGCAAGAGATTTAAAACCAATCAGAGAATATTTGTCTGATCGTAAAATACTAGCTGGACAACTTTTTAAATCCGTTAAGCCAGAAAAGATTCGTCTCATGCTACCACAAGTTCTTAAAGTGAGTTATGAAATATTTAAGCTAATAATAGTTATATGAAACTTTTCTTTTAAACATAAGTAGTATATATATTATTCTTTATTTATATAGCATATGGATTTAAGTGAACTGGAAGAATGGTGTGAAAGTGAGTTAAATGGTATGTCTAAAGCTCGAATATTATCTATATTAAATGGCAAACCTATGTTGGAGTCCTCAGATACAAGTGAAGATTCTGATGATTCAGGTATATAAATACTAGGTATTTTAAATATAGAATGTAAGTTTTATGGAATAATATGCTCATTTATAATTTCCTCTTAATAGGCCCTTCCTTAGAAATCATTTCTGATACAGAGGAATGGTTAACCGATGATGATTCGTCTAAAAAGGAGAATGGTACAAAAGGAAAATTAAAGAAAGATAAAACAAAAATTAAAGGAAAAGTGCCAGTTAATAAGAAAAGTAATGTAAATAAGCCTAGTGTTAAAGCAAAATCTAACATTAAAAGCGAAAATAATGATAAAATTGAAAAGGTTAAAATTAAAAAGGAAGATGATAAAAATAAAGGAAAAGAAGGAGACAGCTTGTTAGATTTATTAGAGCTAGAAATGCGAGCTCGTGCAATAAGAGCTTTGATACGAAAAGAGGAAGATATAATTCCTTCTAACTCATCACAAGCAAATGACACTCAAGCAACAGAAAATAGCATTAGCATAGATGACAAAGCAAAAGAGAATTGTCGCAAGCAATTAGAAAGGATTATTAGTTCTCAACAAAGTATTAAAGGCGAAGATGAAGATGTTGTTTTAGTAATTCCTAATCCTGCTCCAGTTGTCGAATTATTGTCAAGTGATAGTGATAGGGAAGAAACACAAGTAAATAAAGAATTGCAAAACAATGTGTTGAAAGCTGGAAAATCCGTGAATAATTCAGATGAAAATTCTATCAAAACCAGTTCACAAGATTTGAAGGAAAGAAAAGAAAATGAAGGAATAATAGAGATACATAGTACAAATACTGTAACTAAAACACATTTAACTAACACAAGTGAAGTAATAATGCCCGAAAGAAATGTAGATATAAAAAACAATGTATTATCAATATCGATTTCTGCAGATAATGTTGCTGAGAGACGGAAAAAGTCGAAGAAAAAGTCACGTGGAAAATTACAACTTGGTTCTATTATTACAAACTCTTCAGAGTCAACACAAATTAACGTTACTGAGATTAATGAGGAATCAAGTGATAAAAGTATTAAATCGAAATTAAATCCTTCTGACGAAAATGAAATTATCATTGAAGAAGGAGATGAGGCAAAACAGAAAGTATCAGAAGAAAGCAAAGTCGAAGAAGAGAGATCAACAGATATAGATGATATTGATTTAGATGATTATTGTGAAGTCATGGAAATAGACAATAGTGATGAAGATAAAAGTCAAGATAAAACTGTTTCTTCTCAGCAAGAAAATGAGCAGTTTGTATCCGAAACTACTTTGCCAAAATCGGATTCAGCAGAAACTTGGGCTTCGCGTTATTATCAGACTGACGACGTTCAAAATGTAATAAAAGAATCGAAAATACAGTCTGAGATTCGGAAACGTTTGCGGGAACGTCAAAGATTATCCAAGCTGAATAAATCACCAAACTTATCTGTACAGCCATCGACAACTGATGCAACTGTTGCATTTGAGACAGCTCCAACAGGATCAGTGGAGGAATATTTAGCTTTAAAGCGTGCAATGAGTACAAATAATAATGACAGTGATAATACTACCATGGAAGTACAATGTACCAGTAATATTAATGATGATACTATGCAAGATAATCCTGTAGTTACTAATTCTAACAGTGATATTGAAACAAAAGAAATTTTAGAGCAAGATGAGAATAATTTTTCTCATCAAGAATGTACAGATAATGACGCACAAAAAGCTGCAATTTTCGAAGATGTTATTGTGAAACCGGCAGAAACAGTTGTTGATACAAATAACGATGCACAGTCTAATTGAATCCATTCAAGTTTTTTTCATTATTAACAAGTGCATTTTTAAACATATCTTTTTCAAAAATTATACAGACATATGTGTGTATGTATATTGCTATTCTATAAACTTAAGAATATTAGAATTTTCGGATACATTTTTAATTTATTACTTATTGTTAGCTACTTTGCTATATAATATAATAAAAATTATTGTTTAAAAAGTGTTGATATTTTATAAAAATTCTTAGCATGATAATGATTTACATTAAATAAAAAGCAAAAGTACAATTATATCATATTTTAAATTATTATAATGGGATTTTTTTTTCAAATCCATACTTATCGCATTTTTACTGAAAGATTGTTAATTTATACGGTTTGCGTGATTATGATTGACGGACTTCAATACTATAATTTTCATAAATGAAATTGTTAATTTGCTGTTCAATAGTCTTCCTGATATCTTCTGTGATTTCTTCAATTTTGTTGGGTAATTCGGTATTCATTGTACAAGTGAGTTGATTGGTTACTAAACCAGTGAATAGACCTAAACCAGTAATTTCTAATAAAACGACTTTGCCATTTTTTACTTTGACGTACTCTAAATTCACATCGCACGCTTTATCATAATCAATGATTAGTTTTGTCGCTATTGATAATCCATCAATAGTTCCGAGTATACTGCCACTGAACGGGATAAAGGTAATTGCAAGCTATATATTAAGGTAAATATTAATTTAGAAAAAGTTGAATGTTTTATGCTTAATATTTTATCATTAATATCTAATAATTTATAAACCTTACCTGATAATTACAATAAAAATTAACCGCGGAAAATCCAAAGCCAGCTTGTATATTTTGTATTCGTCCTACGTTGGATATAACTGCATCTTCCGTCCTTTTCAGATTCCAAAGATTTCTGAAAATTGAATTATCTTGTTGAAGTAAATTATTCAATAAAGATATTGTACAAAAAATATACATTAATTTTTTCGGTTGTGTTATATGATAGCAGTGCTCACTTTAACTTTACATTATGTATTTTGAAATAACATGGTATTGTAATTCCAAATATTAGTTCTATGTAATGTGTGTCCTCTACATTAGGAAGATTAATTGACTTTATCTTCTGCTCAATGTAGTTTACCGCCGTGCAGTCTTTTAGAAGGATGTCCACAAGCACGTTTATGTTTAACTGTACATGAAAATTGAAATTATTAGGAATGAAATATAATTTACAAATAAGAAAGTTAATAAGATTACGTCAACTCTCAAATTGTTAGAATGAATAATGCTGTCTTTATCACATCTATATTTGTGAAAATGTGACATTTGTTAATATTTTGAAGTTGCTCTTCGTTTACCGTTCCTACTATCTCACAAAGATGCTGTTTCGTACAAGATTGAACATAATAAATCATAGCCTCTTTTTTAAGCTTTGATTTAATGCTGAAAAAAAAAATCTGTTTAATAAAGAAAAACTATAGAAATCAAAGCTTTAAACGGTCTAGCTGGATCTTAATGCTTGTATGATTCTTATATGAATTTATATACTACGTATGTAGTCCCACAGAAACGCGCGCCGAAAAATTTTCGGTCTTGAAACGCTAACTCTACTAAACGACCGGGAGTCAACCGGCCGAGGTAATATTTTTCGCAATAAGAATTAATTATTTACAGATTTTAATATGTTATTCATCATTATTAAGATCGTTTCGAAGATGTGAATAAGC